ACCACGTGTATCTTTTAATCCCTCTTGCTGGTGGCTTGTCAAAACGATGGTCATCGTCGCAGGCGCCAATCGGAGCCCAGGATGCCCTCGCAGCCTGATTTCTGCCCACCTCTGTACAGTACCCGTGTAATGGCCGTGTTGTCCAGGCCACACTTGCTCCCTTTTTTCTTAATTAGAACCTCATGAAGATTTTGACCTGTTTCGCTAAAGTCTAGATGTTTAGGCCCCCTGCGTTCCCCGTGTCAACTAAACGAGGCTGCTCTAACAAAAAATAAGTCCAGGTTCGTTTGCCATGGTTTATTTCTCAGGCTTAAAGCGTTTTCTAAATGCTCACAAACTGACTCCTCCAAACTTGTCTCTGGTGTTTGTTGACGTCCGGCTGACACGTCCGCAGCCACCTGGGTCCTCTTTTCCCATTTTTGAGGACAGGAAAACCCGTTCCCTTCTCCAGCCCTCTGGCCCCACTCCGGTGCTCCGTGAGTCTCCAGAGGTCACAGCCAGGAGCCCAGCGGGTGAGGCTGGCTGGCCCTTTCAAGGCTGGCACGTGCAGCCATCCTGTTCTGGGCACTCAAATCCTTCATGGTGTTAAATATTACAGCTAAGCCGGACACCCATCCATCAGGACAGGGGGGCTGCGCATCCTGCATTGCAGACCTTCTCAGGGATCCTTCCAGATCCTTCCAACTTTGCTTATCGGCCTATATTTCTCCGGGTGTCCTGGATGGAGGCAGGATTGGGCCAGGCTGCTGGCGTGTGGGGTTATCCAGTTGGAGCTCAAATGTTTGCCACAGCAGAAGCTCAACTTTGGTCTGGGGCTTACAGGGGGGCTGGCACACACACCCCCCCCATGTGGAAGCCCTGCAGAGATTGGAGCAGGGAGTCAGTCAGGAAGGGCCTCCGGAAAGAAGCCATGGGGCTGTTTGGAGCAGAGGGCAGCCAAGCAGGGCAGCTCCCTTGGACCCAGCAGGGCATCCGTGGAGCTCAGCTGCCTCTCCCCTGGAGCCCAGCAAGAAAGGCCTGGAAAGGGGGACATTTGTTTTGCTTGTCAACTGGTTAGCACAAGGTGGTGGTCTGTCGTTTTGATTTATGAAGCCTGGGTTTTGCTCAGTGTATGAAGCCGCCATCCCTGGCCGCCCACTGGCTGCTGCCCACCAGGGCTCTCCGTAGCGTTTCTGCCCCTGGTGGCCTGCCGTGATTCCCAGGGGGCTGCGGGAGGATCCTTGCTCCAGAGGCGAGACCGTCCTTTCCTCGCCTGCCGTTGGCTTTTTCGCTCCATGGGCACTTCTCCTTCCTAACCCTGAATCCCAGCAGCGATAATGGAGGCGACCGGGGGGCGGGGGGCTTTGAGGGGCCGCTTGCATTTCTTTGCATGGAGGTTTCAGAGCGTCGGAATTCCTCGGCCATTCCCACCCACCGAAGTGCTGCAATCTGACTCGCCCGGGATGCCCACAAACGTGGCCTGGGTGCCTCGTGACCAGGAGTGGCCTGTGCTGCATCACCCATGAGGCTGGGGCGGGGGGTGGGTGGGCTCCCAGTGATCTCTGGCCATCCATAGGCACTGCTCTGTGTGTGTGTGTGTGTGTGTGTGTGTGTGCCTGCACAAGGGATGAGCCATGGACAGCAACAACGTTGAAGGTTCTGGAGAGACGCCATCTTTCCCTTGGGTGACCCAAAGGGACCTCAGGCCGATCTTGGCCCCCGATGGACCCAAAGCAGCATGGCTGCCCCTCTGTCCGGAGTCTGCCAGCAGCAGAAGGGCACCTGCTAGGCCACTGGGAGAGGAGGGGGAGCCTGTTACACACCTGAGCTGGCTGTAAAGCTCCCAGAGTCACCCTGGAGCCCTCTCCTCTCCATCCATCCATCCATCAGAATAGAGCTGGAAGGGAGCCTGAAGGTCTTCTAGACCAACCCCTGCTGAACCCTCGACCATTTCAGACAAGTGGCTGTCCAGTCTCCTCCTCCTCTCCTTCTGGCAAGCCGTTCCACTGGCTAACTGTTCTGACTTAGGAAGTTGCTTCTCTGCTGGATGTTTCTTGTCCGGCCTTCAGGGGCTCCGTGGGATAATTTGGCCCTCTCTTCTAGGGGGCAGCCCCTCCAATATTGGCAGGCTGCTCTGGTGTCTGCCCCAGTCCTTCCTTTCTCTAGACTGGCCGTGCCCAGTTCCTGCTGTGACCGTTCTTCCTAGGTTTCGGTCTCCGGGCCTTTCATCCTTCCAGTTGCTCTTCTTTGCCCCGTTTCCAAAATCTCCCCATCCTTTCCGTCCTGGGGCGTCCCGGGTGGATGACACCAGAGCAGGCCAGCCCGGCCGTTGTGCACACATGGCTTGGATGTCCTGGCCCTTCCTGCCCACCACTGGCCGCTCCCAGGGGCCCCCCACCCCGGAGTCAGCCGGGAGGCTGCCAGGAAACCCCTCCTGGGTCCCCCTGCCTTTTCCTGCGAGAAAAAGTAGCAAGGAGGCCCTAAGTGGCAACTCGCTCTGTGAATCGTATCATTGGTGAAGGGGGGAGTAACAGACCTCCGAGCGTCACTATAGGTCTCCGCCTGTCTTCTTGGGGGGGAGGGGGGCATAAAAGCATTTCAGCGTTTGTCCCTTGGATAAGAGGCAGGCCCCGTCTTCTGACCAGACCTCCTTCAAGCGCCACCCCCCCCCCGGGCGAGAGGAGGACATTTGTGGGTCAGTGGGGCTGTAGGAAGCCCGTGTCTCTCTGGGTGTGGCTAACACGTTCCTCAACACACTAGTGTAGCTGGCAGGCTGGGCTGTGGAATGCAAACCTGGCCACTCTTCTGGGGTTAACCCAGGTTTGGATGTTAGGGCGTTGTGGGAAGCCTTCTTGAGACGGGGGGGGGGGCGGCTTGGCTTCTCTGCCTCCTCTGAACATTGTGTAGTGTAGGGTCTTCAACCTTGCAAGGTTAAGACCTGCAGACTTCAACTCCCAGAATTCCCCACCCAGCTATCCTATGCTGCCTGGGGGATTCTGGGAGTTGAAGTCCACAGGTCTTAAAGTTGCTGAGGTTGGAGGCCCTGAGCCGCCGTCTTTTCCCCGCACAGCAACCCCCCCTTTGTGGAAAGCTGCTTCCTGCTCCTAGGAGGGGCTTTGGGTGTCCCGTGGCTCCAGAACTTGGGGGACACGGAGACACGAAGGCTTAGAACCGTTCCAGAGGTTGGCCACACACCTGCGGGGGAGGTGACTCCTGTGGGGCAGGTGGCATCAAGGTAGTCCAGGCTTTCTCAGGTGGAGAGCCAGCGTCCGGGTCAAAATGACACAAACTCTCCTTGGCAGGCAGGGAAGACCTGCTGATCCTGGGCATGAGGGCCGGTCAGCCAAGGGGTGCCAATCAAGCTGGACTTGATGGGCGCCAGGATTCACGCCATGCCAGGCGCCCAACTCTTCTGTGAAAGCTCTAGGTCCTGGGCGCCTCCTCTCAGAGGGGCTCTGCTTCTCAGGGCCCCCCCTCCTTGGCCAAAGCCTTGTGGGGCAGCTGGGCAGGTTCTCTGGGTCAAGCCTGGGCTCACACCTGGTCTGGGAAGGCCGTGTGGGCCCCGCCGGTGGGTGCGTCCTGGCAAAGGCCTGGCCTTCTGGGTGGCCTCCAGGGCTGCTGGCTGGGCTGGGCGAGGCTGGTGAAAGAGACGGGGGGGGGGGGGGGCGGGGGGGGGCGGGTGAAAGAGGGGGGGGGGGGGGGGCAGCCGGGATGGCGGTCTCAGCCCTTCTCTCTCTTTCCCTGCAGGCGATGGAAACCCCAAAGAAAGCAGCCCCTTCATCAACAGCACCGACCTGGAGAAGGGCAAGGACTACGAGGGGAAGAACATGGCGCTCTTTGAGGTCAGGGGGGAGGGGTGGAGGGGGGGCTGGCCTGCAGAAGCTTCACACCCCCCCCCGCCTGAGTTGCCAGAGCAGCCCACCCGGGGCTCCCCCAGGGCTGGGCAGGGGAAGCTTCGGCCACAGGAATCCAGGGGATGGATGGGGCTGGCAGGCCAGAGAGGCAAGCCCTCCTCCCCCCCCAGCGGCCACCAGCCCTCCCCTCCCTCTGCTTCCCCAACAGGAGGAGATGGACACCAGCCCCATGGTCTCCTCCCTGCTCAGCGGCCTGGCCAACTACACCAACCTGCCCCAGGGCAGCCGGGAGCACGAAGAGGCGGAGAACAATGAGGGGGCCAAGAAGAAGCCCGTCAAGGTGCGGGGGGGGGGCGCAAACGGTCACCCCACAGTGGGCCCCATAGAGCAGCCAGCTAGGAGCAGGAGAGCCCCCTCGGCCCCCTCAGGGCCAGATCTGGGCTGCAGCCGAGCGCGGCCTTCCCTCCTGTTCTGCACGCTGCCCTCCAGTGGCGGTGTGGGGTAAGAGGCGCCCCGGCTTGTGGCTCCTCCCCCGTTGCCCGGGGATCCCGCAGGGCGGAGCCAGGAAGGCACCTGCTAGGGGAGGGGAGGGAGCCCCCCCCTTTGGGCACAGCCTCAGGGCCCCCACTCCCCCTGCAGGCCACCCGGATGGGCACCTTCATGGGCGTCTACCTGCCCTGCCTGCAGAACATCTTTGGCGTCATCCTCTTCCTACGCCTCACCTGGGTGGTGGGCATCTCAGGCATCCTGGAGTCCTTCTGCATGGTCATCCTCTGCTGCTCCTGTGTGAGTAGTGCCCCTCTGGCCGTGGGGCCTGGCCGGGCAGGGGAGGGTCTGGCCGGAGGAGCCCCTCCTGACACAGCCCCAGAGCCAGTCTGGCCCAAGAAAAGGCTCCCCCCCTCGTCACCCGCCCTGTCCCCACTGGCCCACAGGGGTGCCAGCCTTTTGGAGGGGGAGCACCCACGTTAGACCCGGGAGGGCAGCCAGGCTTGGGGGCACCTGGCTGGGCGGATGAAGGTACAAGGAAACGGGTGGCCAATGGACCCAGCACCCTCCCCCCCC